CATTACTTTTCTCACTAAATGCTCCGTCCCACCAAACATGCTCGCCCTTTCACCAGAGGGAGCGTTATAATGTGACGGTTAATCCTACTATTCGTTAGTAAAAGAGTAGCCCAAGAGTTGGCGGTGGGTGGTGATGACTAGCTGCTTTCCCTCTAGTCTTTCACTGCTAAATTAGGGACGGCTATCGCAGATAGTCCTCGTGTTGCTTTGCGCGTAATTAAAAAAACTAAAGAAACAAATACTAAAAGCTTATTCTAACATGTAAACACGGACAGAAACAGTCACATATAAGCACCTTGCAAGTTTTAGTGTTACAGAAACAGTCACATATAAACACCTTGTAAGTTTCTAACATGTAAACACCGACCGAAACAGTCACATATAAGCACCTTGCAAGTTTTAGTGTTACATGTGAGGGGAAAATATTAACAGTGATTATCAATTGAGTAATACTCTACAGAAAATTGAAATTAATGAAAAGTAAATTAATTAAACAAATTATAAAAAAATAACTTAAAGTTTATGACCATTTTTAACAAAGCCGCACACGTTCTTTCTACAATAATGACTGTTACTAAATTAAGTAGAAAACAAACAAGGTGAAATACTTGTCAAATTTAAATCATTTACTGACAACGTTTTAATCAATAGCTCTTCATCGGATTTCCAGTAAAGTGAATAAGGTTTTTAAAAGAGGTATGGTACATTAAAAAGTAAACAGAGGAAAGAACGAGCGGCTCGAAGCCTCAAGAACGTATTATGAAGCTAAAATAGAACAAAGAAAGGTATGAGAAGTAACTCAAAAAAAATTAGTTGGGTAATGTTGTATGAAATATAAGATCATGAAAAAGTCGGTGAATTATAGTAATGACATTTTAAACTAAGTAACTAAATGAACATAAGTAAAAAAGCAATTAAAACATAAATAAAGGCAAGAAGTTAGTTAGATATACAAACAATGAGAGAGTGAATGCTTACATTGAATAATATTGTCCAACGAGATACACCAATAAAATTATGGGAATTTAATATAAAATCATGAAAAAAGACAGTTTTGTTTGTTTGTAGTTAAGTACAAAGAACTATTTTGAATGAACTATTTGCTGTGCTAACCACAGGTATCTAAACCTCATCTTTAGCGTTATAAGCTCACATACTTGTCGCTGAGCCACTGAGGGTGGGAAATTAGGAAATATGAGATGAGATGTATTAAACAAAAATAAATAAATAAATAAAAAGGCAACAAATTAGAGCTTGATATGATAAAAGAAACTTGAAGTGGAGAGGTTGGTAGCTAACTTTTAGGGCGCAGAAGCCGTAATCACAGCTGTAAAAAAAAAAGCTTATTATTGAACCCTCTATAAAAGCATTTGTTATCAAAGTTATACACATGGGCGTAAAAGTTTCTAACGTTGCAGAAGAGGTTACATATTTAACTATAGGTTTCACTGAATAAATATGAACATATACATAACACCCACTAGTTTAATAAGAGTCTGTATAAAGCATAAATAAATCATACCAAAACTAATTATAGACAGTATTTCATTGTAGCTTAGGGTCAGATAAAAGACTGATAACTTCTTTGACCCAGTGATTTAATTGTAAGTGGTTAGGTCATATTACTGCTTAAACTTTACAATGTCAAATTCAACTCAAATACAAACACTATTGAAAATTATTATCTTACACCTATCTATAGAATAAATTAGTGGCGTGAGGAAATGGTAAATTTTAAAGCAGTCTTTCTTGTAACTGT